TTCTTCTAATTTTTTTTGCATTTCTGCTTTTTCCTTTTCCCGATTTTCTATCATTTCCTGCTGCTTCCTTGCTTCTTCTTTAGCTCTGTCTCTTTCTAATGACTCTCTGTAAGCAGCATCTTGTTCGAACTTTATCATTTCTCTCGCAGTTCTTTCATCCTCTTCTTTTATTTCAATTTTTTGTTGCATTGTAAAAACATCCACGGCTTCAGTCAAATTAGCCATTAATTCATTTACTTCAACGTTACCTAAAAAAAAAAAAAAAAAATTTAAAGAGTGAAAAAACGTTAAACTCAAAAAAAAAAAAAAAAAAAAAAAAAAATGGGGGGAAAGACCACCATTACCTTGAATAACGGCAGTGATTTCGGTTACTGATCTAGTTCTACTAATAATAACAATTGCGGGTAACCTTTCTTGTGGTATGTTTTTGATTTGAAACGTCGCCACACCACCCAAACATTTTGTTAAAGAAGCTAAAAATCTGTAAAAAATAATAATTGACTGTTGTAAGGGTGTAAAATTAATTTATAATTTAGTTTCATATTATTTACTTTAAATTATTCCATTCAAACGTAAGATCCCAGCCCCAAACGACGAAGTTTGCAGTTAGACACTGAATAACGGATTCAGAGCATAAAATTTGAGTACAAAAGACGTTGGAAAGAACACTTCCGTCATGATGAAGGTAAAGAGCTAGCAATCGCCTCTAAATAAATAAACAATTTTTCTTATTCATCATTAACGCTAACATTATTAAAACTGAAAATTCTTTAAAACCCATTCATTACGAACCTCCCTGGCTGGTTTCATACAAGCCTCTTTAATAGCATCTTCTAAAGTACCGGGAAAAAATTCGGGATGTAATGCACCGTACCGACTAGTAAATTCATCAGCAAAGTGAAGGCAACCAGCTGTTTCATCTTCGACCATATCAGGAACTATAATTTAAACGTTTTGAAAACATTTTTAATAATATTTCACATAATAAATAAATTATAATCCTCTAATTTAATCTATAATGTGTTGTAGTGATAACACATTAACCTTTTATAAATTGTTCAGGGAGTGAATTTCAAATAACTTACTAAGAGGCTGTAATCTCCTTGATCTCGTATCAGATATAAAATCATCATCAGCAGTAAAAGACTCTGTGGCATCTTCAAATTCTTCTACGGAACTATCTTCGGAATCATCTATGTTTAAATTCTAGAAATAAGTTAAAATTAACTTGATTAAATTTTTTAAAAACCTTAAATCGACTTAACAACGGGTACAATTTTAATTAATCTATCTGGAAACACATATTAAGGGGATAAAAAATAAAAGGTACAGGTTTACAAAAAAAAAAAAAAAGGTTCTTAATTACTCTTTTGTGCTTCTTTTTCTCATCGATTTCAGAAGACTTTAAAAACAAAAAATGAACGGGATGATCAACTCCTGAATAACCTAATAATGTTGTGTCTTCTTTTATACTTTCCGGCCAACCAGACCATTCTTGATACCGGACCGGTATATTTGTAATGCAATAAACGGCAGATTTAATATCTAATATAGATTTTGTTCCGCCAAATTTTAAACTAAGAACCTTATTGTGCGTTTCATCTTTTATATGTAATGTATAAGTTAAATTTAGTCCTTCGACAATGTCACTGAAACAATAAATAATAAATAAGAATAAAGCATGCATAATAAATTAGAAAAGTAAAACCATTTATTTACTTGTCCGTTTCCATTTGACCATCATGATCTGTTTCAACGGTATTTAATGTTAATTTTGTTTCAGAGGATAAATTTAACGATGATAAACTGCATGAATCCGATTTGGGAAATTCTCTCCATCCGATTAAGTACTGTCTACACAAAGGTACATTGGTTGCTTTGTTTATCTGTTTTTTTAAATCAGCTACAGTTTGATTCTCTAGCAAACTTACTACAAATGAACGGCCTTTAAAATTAATTATAAATTTAAGAGTCTTTGTCCTGTCTTTTGAATTAGACGTAGACGGACCAGTAACTGAAGTATTTACGCCGACATACTGAGAAAATAAAATAAATATATATTTTAATAAATAAATAATATTAAATTTAAATGCTGTGTTATTTAGAAATTTTAAATTTGTATATAATCACCTAAAAAGTTACAAAAAAAAAAAAATTATTTAAATTGTGTAAGTATCCATATATAAAAAAACGACTGTACAAAATTTTTTAAATTTAAAATAATGTATGTATAGTTTCTGAATAAAAGTACATTATGAAAAAAAAATATTAAAAATTAACTTACTTGAAAATTTATTTTAGAATCACTACAAACAATTACTTCATCATCTTGTGATTTTTTATTAAATGTATCATTGTATGTCTGTTCGTTTCCCTTAATTTCCTTAATCAGTTCTATATCCATTGAAGATTCTGCATCTGTAGTATTGGTATCTTGAGGTATCACTTGATTAATTGCTTTCTAACAAACAAAATAATTTTAGAATAATTATAAACATGCATTTTTTTTTTTTATACGTAAACTTAAACTGAATTCGAATATTTTTTAAAATAAATGCAAATGTAAATAAAAAATTACACTCTGTTTTATTTGATAATGAAAGTGAAAATAATTTTAAATTATTAAATTGTAATATTACGCAAAGTTAACAATAAATAAATAAATAAACTTGAAATTTTAAAATTTAAAATAATAAATAACTATTTAATAATAAGTGACAACCGATTTATTAAAAAGTAAAAAATCAAAGTTTGAATTTAAACAAAAAAAATGCATGTTTGATTAAGAATAAAATGAAAATATTTTAAACACGTTTACACTTACTAATAAATCCCAGTTTGTTTCTTCTAAGTGCATAATTGATTCTCCAACATCATCAATACCCGTGCAAGCCTAAAATATGACAAATTTTTTAATTTGTCAACAAATCATTATGTTTATAAAGGTTTTGCGGTTGATTTAAGCTAAGAAAAAAATTTTATTGTTACACAATTTTATATTTATTTACCTGAAAATTAGCAAGTATTTCATCTCTATTTTCCGCCATTTCGTGACTACGATCTTAAATTAATTTCGTAAAAAAATTATATTAAAACGATTAATAACTCAAATAATTAAGTAAATGTCACAAACTGTATCATCGAGATGATTCTTCACAATTCAAAGCCATTTTGAAAACCATAAAACTGGTCTCAACAAATGAACGTTGCCAAACCGTCTCTTTAATTAAGTGAAATATTCTGATACCTATACATATTAATCATAATTTAGATAAAACTAATTAATTATTTATTAAATTTAAATTTATTATATATAAAATATAATAAATAAATGCTAAATGCAACGAATACAATTCTTAAATTGAATTCTAAATATTTTTTAATTTTGTTTCAAATACACACAGAAAACAAATTAAACGTGAATATTTTTAAAATTAATTTAGTTGAAAATTTACGAAAATTTATACTCATAAATTAATGTAATAATTAATTTGTAAATTTTAAATATATATAATAATTAAAATTTTTATGAAATTTTGATATTCTATGAATTTCGTCGTGGCATTTGAAATGTTTACACTCGCTCTTGTAATACTTTGTATACATACTATTTGAATACAAAATTTAAATTTTGACATTGTCTGATATTAAATTAGCACTTATATAAATAAAAACATCACAAAATAACACATCACTTTAATGTATAGTAGTAAATACAGACTTCATTTTAACTTTTATGTTTTTGTAAGCCAGTTCGAACTTTTTTTTTGAGGAAATACTTAAATTACTTATAAAAAATCCAGTTACCTTGTTTTTCTATATTTCAGACGTTTACAATTATTGTTATCCTGTCATGGGGATATGTCATAGCAGCCGGAAGATATTTAACTCTTAAAAATTATTGTGACAAATAGACAAAAAAAAAAATGGCTTTTTCTGCAGAAGCTGCGGCCTTTCAAGTTCAAGAAAGACTCAAAGCTTTATATCATTTAGTTCATGAAATAGAACTTGAACGACAAAAAAATGAAAAAAATCTTAGTAGCATAACAAAAATTCATGATAAGTACAATTCAGATGACAAATTAATACCATTACAGCAAAAACTCAAAAGTTTATATACTGCAGTGTCAGATGCAGAACGTGAAGAGGAATTATTAAGAAAAGCTTTGGCCAAAGTGAATGAAATTAGATCGATAAGAAACGAAAGGAGAATTCAAGCCAGAAATGCTGGAAATAAAGAAACAATTAGAAGAGGTACACTTATGAAAATGTTACAAGGTTCTGCTCAAACCCTACCTTTGTGGGTAGGTAAACCAGATGAAAAAGCACCTGCTCTCTGTGGAGCAGTTCCGGCTGATGCATTTTACATTGCTAAGGTAAAAGCGACATTAAGAAAAAAATGTTATGAAAATTAAAGTAAAGCTTAAAAATTTATATGGTGATTTACAGCCTGGTGATATGGTAGCAGCATTAGTTAAAGGTGCTGATGAAGAAGAAAATTGGATATTAGCAGAAGTAGTACAGTTTAATACTTCTTCAAACAAATATGAAGTTGATGACATAGATGAAGAACAAAAAGATAGACACATATTAAGCAAAAGAAGAGTGGTTCCATTACCTTTGATGCGTGCAAATCCAGAAACAGATCCTCATGCTCTTTTTCCTAAGGGATCAATCGGTAATATAAAAATAAATTTTAATATACTAAAACTCAATGTTAATGTCCTTGTTAATTCTTTCATAAACACTTTAATTTTTTCTTTTGCTTTGAATTACTCGTACATATTTTTAATTAAGTTAATAATATAATCATCATTTTATCAGAATTTCATATTAAATCTTATTCTTATGTAATTAATAACTGAAAAATAAAATAGATTTAGTAAAAATTATAATAATTCAAGGTTTAATCATTATTTATTCAAATATAAAAAAATCATTAAAATACATAGGACTACTTTCAAAGCAAATATTTCAATTATTATTATTATTATTAAAACAATTGAGCTTTACTATATGTATATGTATATATATATATATATGTTATTTTTTCAGTAATGGCATTATATCCTCAAACTACTTGCTTTTATAAAGCAGTCGTGAATCAGCTTCCAACTACAAGTACAGAAGAATATGAAGTTTTATTCGAAGATCCATCTTATGCTGATGGGTATTCACCACCTTTGACGGTAGCTCAACGATACGTCATAGCTATTAAAGATAAAAAGACAAAAAATGGCTTATAGATATTAAATTGTGCGCGTACACGTGTGTGAGTGTAAATAAAAGTGTAACACTCAATTATCATATAATACTTATTAACTTTGTAGACATTAAGAAAATAATTTGCCTAATAGGAATTGTGCCTGAAATAAACCTTTTAATAATAATATAAAGGAAAAATTTTAAAAAAAAAAAATAAAAAAACTAAATTTTAAATACATTACTATTTTTATTTTAACTTCTTAAATAATTAATTTTAATTTTTGCCCTCTATTTTTTTTTCTCTCTCCCTTTTTTCTTACATTTTTTATAAAATATATATATATATATATTTTTATTGTTTTTCTTTTTTTCTTTTCTTTTCTTTTCTTTTTTTAATTGTTATTATTATTATTATTTTCTTTTTTTTTTTTTTTTTTTTAAAAAAAAATGATTAAAATGATTACAACTAAAAAAGTTATGAAAAAAAAAAAAAAAAAAATGTTCTTTGATACCTCTGAAGAAGACATTGTCCAATCGCTTCTTGAGGAGATGCGGATGACCAAAGCATCCTGAAAAAATATGAAAGCAAAAACAAAGGGGAGGGAAGGAAAAGAGAGATAACTAACTCCAGGACTTTTTGTAAAAAAAAAATTAAAAAACAAACATCAATGTTTTGATAGAGGCATAGTAGCAATTAAGTATTTGTTTAAAAAAAAAACACTTAAATATTTTTCCCCCCTTTTTTTAATAATCATTTGTTTACTATTACACTTTAAAACTAATTGTCATAGATAACATAATTAGAATAGATAAAAACAAACGGCCTGAATTTCAAAAAAAAAAAAAAAAATTATAAAACTCAATTTCTTTTTTTTTTTTTCATATATTATAAGAATTTTTAATTTCCTGTAGAAAAAAATGGGAAAAATCAAATTTAAAAAAAAAGAAAAAGAAAAAGAAAAAAAATTCCTTTTTACATTCCTCACTTAAAAAATGTAACATCATAGTAGCTAATTTATAAGACTGTAAAAATACAAAAATTTTTTTTTTGCACCCGATCATCAACATTGCAAAGCAATATAAACAATTTCATATAAGAAAAAAAGGATAATAATGATTCTATAATTTTACTAAATATAGATCTTAAATTATGGAGAAATTATTTAAATTATAAATGAGAGGCAATGAAACAATTTCAAAATAATTATTTATATATAAGTGTGTGTAAATAAAAACTCAAATGTTTCGATACCTTTAAGAGGCATTTTTAAAATTACTTAAATTTTCTGCCTTAATTTGTAATTTTAATTTTAATTACAGTTTATATTTTAACATTAAATTTTGTTTATTAATGACTCTCAAAAAAAAAAAAAAAAAAAAAAGAAAAGAAAAAAGAAAATTCAGTTTTTAATTTTTTTTTTTTTTTTTTAAAGAAGCGTTTAAACAAAAAATTTTTAATAAAAATTTTTACGGGTTCAAATTTTAAAACTCCTAAATTTTTTAAAACAAAAAGCAATGTAAAAAAAAAAATCATCTATTTATCTAAATCATTGCCCTAAAATGTTTTTTTTTTAATTTTAATTTTTTCCAAAAAAAAAAGTAAAAAGTAAAAATAAATGAAAGAAAGATTTGATTCTGTTAGACTTTACAAAAAAAAAAAAAAAAAAAACAATTTAACCCCAAACTCGAATAATTCAATTTACTATCAGGAATAAATCAATCATCCAATATTGAATACAATTGGCTATTTCACATGATTCCATAAAAAAAAAAATCTAAAGTGAGAAAAATTAAAAACTTTACCTGGTTTTTAATTAACTCAATTTAATGGCATCAATGTTTTCATATGAAGGGAATATAACACAAGTTAAATCAGTAAGGCAAATATATAGCGCTTCGACGAATATAACTTCTGTAAAATTAAAAATCCATCGAAAAAAAAAAAAATTTTAAATTGTTTGTCAAAAAAAAAAATGTTATTGGGAAAAAACAAAATCAATTTTAAAAACTTACCTAGGCCTTCTAGGTAATCTATACCCATAAAGAGGATAACCTCTACCAGCACGCCCGCGATATCTTCCTGCACGAGAGATTCTGTTAGATGTGCTCATTCCAGGCTTATTTGTACGCTTGGGATTGACCTGAGAATAAAAGTAAAAACAATAAATATAAACACTTTATACCAAAAAATATTAAAAGAATTATAATTTACAATAATAATTCAATTCAGACAATAATAATTTAAACTAATAATAATTATTTAAGTTATAATATATGTAAGTACATATTACATTTTTTAATAAAAAAAAGCACAATGCATATATATACAAATTATACAACAGATAATTTATGTCAGCAATTTTATTATAATGATTAATTTCTTTTTTTTAAAGTAAATTATCTGTTGTAAAAATCTTATTCAAAACTCTAAAATACCTTGATTTGTCTTCCTCTAAATAATGACTCATCCATTGCCATGGCAGTTTGAACAGAATCTTTGTCGGCAAATTCAATGTAAGCAAAACCTTTTGGATGACCATCATACTTATTACACAAAATTGTAACTCTATTAATTGAACCACAGCCGTGAAAATGCTGTTCGAGTTCTTCAGCATTAGCACCATAATCCACATTTCCCACATATATTGATCTATTGTCAACCTCTAACTTTTCTTCTAATGATAAATTTAAGGAACTGGCTGATAACATAAAAATTTAATTAAAATCAATTAAACTATATCATTTTGATTGAGTTTTTAATTTGATTTATATAAATCTACATACTTAAACCTGTGGGACTTCCCAAATTCAGTTGTTTTTCCACTTCTGTTTGTAATTGTTTTAATTTTTCTGCCTCCTCTTCCATTTCTCTAACTCTAGCTTTAATTGCCTCAAGCTCCTAAAATAAAAATCACGCAATCAACATTTTATCAATGGTCCAAGTTCCTTGAGCACATATTGTAATATGGAAAAAACTTCAAAGTCTGATGTAAAATCGGTATTTTTTAAACGCGCGTGTTATATTTATTTTCTTTTCTAAGGAAATATAACTTCACTTGTTCTTAAAGCAAAATGGACAAAAAAAATAAAAACTATAAAATGAAAATCCACTCGTAATTTTACTCACTGTGTCGTCATAATTTCCGGATTTATCAACTTCAGCATCTCCATCGACTGGTTCATCACCATCAACATCGTTTTCCATATCTTCCAATTCGTTTTTTGATCCTTGAGTGTGAACCGCCATGCTTAATTAGGAATTTATTAGAAAGATGCAATTTCTAATAATAATAAGTCTTAGATGATATTTATATTAAAACTAAATATAAGATAAATTTAAAATACAATAGCAATGAGAATTAAAAAGAAAAAAGCAATAAATATCACAAAAAATAAAACCGGCACACAAATTTAAGGCGAAAGCTTCTTGACGCGTTACGTTCTGTTTCCTTTTACCACTCGGCAGTGCCAACTTCAAAATAATAAAATTTTAAGGAAATGGGTAGAAAAAAAGAGAGAACGTTTAATTTACTGTCTCTTTATACTTATTTCATTTATTAAAATATTATCACTGGGTTTAAATATTCAAAATAAATTATAGCTTTATTTTTGTCGCCATATTTCAAAAATAAACTTGTTAAGTGTATTTATTATTATAGAATTACAAGTTTTAAATTAAAAATACTATTAAGCCATTGTATCTTTATAATTTGAAGTAGTATTATCTTTACTCTGTTTAAGAGTATTCATCGTCATATGAAACTGAAGAAGTACAACGAGATAAGCAAATGAGGCACCTATTACCTGTAAAAAAAATAATATAAATAAATAAGAATGAAATTAGGTAAAATTTAAATTTTTTTTTGACTCACCGAAAGTATTGTTTTGCCATCCAAATCAAAAAATCCATGTGTGGTAAATGTTAATTTACGATTGTTTAATTGCATGGAGAAAATTTTAAGCTACAATAATAATGTAAATTTTTTATATACTGTAAAGTCAAATTTTAACATGTTTAAAAAATTTTTTAATATTTCTTATTACCTGTTCAAGTAAATCAACATCTTCAACTTTACTCATGTATAAATGGACAAGAGCTGAAGTTCTGTCAGCCTAAAATTTAAAGTTTTTTTTTGTATTTATTATAGTCATAGATGATAATTTTTACACATAAGATGACAAAAAATTCAATAACTATAAAATTTACCTCATTTGAAACCAAACAAAATGGCGCAATTAGTACACAAGTAGGAAAAAATCTTACACTAACCCATATAACAGCAGTTCCCAAAACGCTATCTCTTCTTCCTAAGACAAGCATAAGAATAAGAAGAAAACTACTAAAACACAAAAGTATAACATTCAATGAAACGATGGTAAGGATTCTCGTTGAAAAAATTCTATTTAAATCCTGTGATATTTTAACGAGAAGAATATGTAAATGACGAATTTGTTTAACTTTTTTTATAACGTATTTTCTCATATCTGCATTATTTGTTGGATGAGGAGTTGGTACTCTTTCTCCTTCAATTATTCTATGCGTTACAAAAAATATTTTTTCAGTAAAATCTAAATGTTCCGGATCCGTTTTATCATAGTCTGATAATACTTTAACCAGTTTTTGATTTATTTGAAAAAATTTCTTATAAACAAGATACAAAAAACTAAATACAACAAGTATGAATGTCCAACTGACGATATCGAAAAGACACCAGGAAACAAAAAATGATATGAATTCATAAATGGACAAACTTCTTTCTGAGACTTTTCTAA